CAAAAATAATGCAGCAGAGCTTTTCCTTCCCAAAAAGAAAAAAAGCAATTTTCATTCCATCAGGGCATCAGCAAAACAGACATGAACTCAGTGCCAACAGGCACACAACATACACCCTATGAAGGGTGTTTTATATGATATCTCCACAGTGTCAGACAGATGGGAGAAAGAAAACACTGGATTAGTTTTGCAGATGGAAAACTTTGGAGCTCCCAGCCCGCCTGGCATCCAACAAAGCTTCGGGGTCCTTCCTCGGGGTTCTAAGTCTAAGCCCAAGCCCCTCTTTTCTTCACAGCAGCGCGTGACAGCAGAGTCATCCTGTCCTCATTAGTTCTGACGCTTTTATAGGAATATACTGCATTCAATTAAATGTTTTTGCAAAACAAATATTCCTTTCTGAAATGTTGTCTATTCATTCACTGGAGCGTGACCATTGTTGTCTTCTTAGTAAATAAAATTAGTTTTGATTTTTTTTTTAATTATAACACAAATTAGTCATTAGCCTAATGAAAAGCCTTTTTCAATCTCCTGGATAAGCGCTGCACGCATTTCTATTTTTTTTTTTTAATGGTAAATTTAATAGAAGCCAGGCCCTGTTCCCCTGCTGCCAATCAAGGCAAGAAATCAGAAAGAAATAAAGGCACTTGCAGATTTCTTCCCTTCTTGGTGCCATTTTTGCAATGAGTTATTCTTCAGTGCCTTGTCTCCTCTGAAATCAAAGGAAAGCAGATCACTAGCGTGATTGGCAGGCGGCTCATGCCCTTCAGCATCTTCCCTGTTTCTCTGATCATCCGACTCGTGGTCAGAGCCTCAAATGGGCCATTGACAAAAACCAGGTGATGAGGAAAGTGCATCCCTGCATGCGGCCCCGCAAATCCGATTTCACACTGAAATCAACACTGATTTCCTGCCGTTCTTCTCTGCCTTGATGTGGGGCTACGCTCCAGGCTCCGCTGGAGAGACGCAGGGAAGCGCCAACGCGCTGAAGCCTCCACATCCCGGAGAGCTGTGGGAAACAAGGCCAGATCACTTGAGAAAAGGCTTTTTAGGTCTCCAAAAATATTCAAGCAGTTTTGGGGTTGTTTCATTTGGTGGATAAATTGCAAACTCTTTGCAGAATGCTTTAACAGAGGAAAGCAAAGACAAGGTCTTTAGCATAAGCCTGAAGAAAAGAACATATTAGGTCATTAGTGCATGGTAACTCTACAAAATATATGCTGACTTGACATGCATTTGTAGAAAAAAAAAACTGAGAAATTCAGCTGGGTACACAAAGAGCTTATAGTTTACACTAAACTCTTCCTCTACGGTAAAAGATGATGCTTTTGTTAGCACAATATTAATGTTTATAAAGCATCTTGGCATGAAACACTGTTGGCTTTCCTTTCCGGTGTGTTATAAAGTCATCACGGAAAGAAAAACAGATGATCCCTAATGCACCACATTATTGTTGCGCTGGTATCTCCTGATACAGCACAGACAATAAAACTCTGGATCTTCATTTGTCACACCTCTTTAGCTCCCGGAATGGTTTGAAATGAATATAAGTCTTTTCCCTGAGAAGAAAATAGAAGTTACTCTGAAATCGTTGATATTTCAGCTCTGCCAGTTCTTACTCAAGTGTTAGTGTAATTCTCTTGTGAGTATTCTTCAGTTCTTGTGCATTCTTGTGCGTTCCACCAAAGAGTTTTTTTTTTTCCCCGTGGTTTTGGAATTCGTTCTTCTATCTGTTTCTCATTGTATTCTTAACCTCTTCTTTTGTTTTAATATAAAAGAGCAAGAATGAAGCTGGTGTTCTTTAATTTGTGACTGCTCTTTAATGCTGCAAGAGCTGCTGATGGCCCCAGGCCTGCCAAGGTCCCCGTGGGGCTGCTGGTTCCTAGGCTATAGGTTGCCCCTGATTCAAGGGAAATAAGAACTGAGTTGCTCAGACAGCCCTTCTCTCAGGTAGCCTTAAGGAAAATAACCACGATGCCAGCGAAGCCCTTGTCTCCTCATCCCCTGCGGGTTGTCCCTCTCCCTGCATCGCAAGGTTGATGCAGCAGAGAAGAGCAGCTCTGATCTTTGTACGGCTCTAAGCAATTTGGGAGGACACAACAAATTTAAAGCCTTTTATTCAGTGCTTGCTTTCTGCCTTAAATGAGTATCAGTACCATTATCACTACTTTTATAGACACAGAAAGGGAGTTACCAAGGGTGAGGTGCCTTAGGCCATCTCGCAGTCGCCAGATACATTCCAAAACCTCAGCCTGGCATTTCAGCCGTTCAAAGCTGCCTTCTCTGTCCACTCGTCATCTCTCAACTGTCTTTTGTTACTTCCATGCTTCCATGGCAATATTAGGAGAGCACATTGATGGCAAGGGACCAGCCTTGCTCATCTTTGTGAAAATCCCTGGGATTTCTTTATTCTGCTCAGCTTCCCCACTCAGAAGAGCTCAGTTCCTCCTGAGGCTGTGGCTGGTGACGGATGCAGGACAACAGGGATGCACTGAGCAGCACACGTTGATTTGGGTCCTGCCTCCCTGCACCTCTGCAGGCTACAGGTTCTGTATATTCGGGACACCATCCCTCTGTGAGAGCATTAATTATTACTGCTGCTTGCAAACTGATCTGGGAAATAAAATGGGTTTTCTAATTCTGTCACTGGAGAAGAACTTTTAGCTAATCATCTGGAGGCAGATGGAATTGGCAGAGATGGCATAAAGGCCTGCACTAATTACTCCCTATGTCTCAAGAACTGATAAGAGACTTGATTTATGCCTGGAACAGCCTGATAATTCCGGAAATAATAGATATTGTATGACTTAATTAATCAATGTAAAGACCTGGTGCACTGTGATTTTGAGCAGGCAGCTGTGCTACAGCCCAGGTGTGTGGAAGGTGGGTTAGAGCACTGCTACTGTGAGGAGCATAAATGTACCTGCTAATGGTCTCCAGCAGGGACAAGGATTTAGCCTGGATTTAGTGCCTGGCTGTCTCTTATCATGTTCAGGGGGCTCTTGTTTTTGGAGAACATGTGTGCCAGATGTGATGGCACATGGGATCCAGCCATGCTAGACCAGAATCTATGTCAGGGACCAGAAAGCTATGTTTTTCCCAGTAGGAGTCAATTGACGATATCTCAGATACCACCACGAATGCCCAGAAGGACTTGTCTGTTAGGGCTGATGGAACGATACATAACTCCAGGGTTAGTTTTAGCCTGCTAGGAGGCCTAATGACAAGATATGTGGGCATGGGTTTATTTTCTCCTCGTAGTTCTGCTATAAGCAGGTCATTTGGTCTTCAACAAGTCACATATCTTTATGCCAGGTCTTTAAAATGGAGCCAGTGATACTGCTCTATGTCGCTTGCTTCGACATAGGCTGATGCTATAGGTTCCTGTAACTTTAGTTTTCTCCTTTTTGGTTGTACATGGTCACAGTAGGTTCTGTGCTGTAAATGCTCTAACCTGGAATAGTGACTGGAGAGGGGCTACACTGGGATGCTAGAGAGCACAGAGACAAGTTGAAAATGCTCTGGGGACACTTCCTTCACTGACGTGAGCAGAGGATGCTTACTCTGAAACCTAACAGGCATGTGCTGACAGTGGATGTTGTCTACTGCTTCTCTTTCTCCTCCATGGAAAACTTCCTGATGCCTCATCTTTGGAAGGTTTCCCACCCCCAAATGTCAATAATTTTAAACCTAATTTTACCCTAATTGCTTTCTTCCATCCTTCTCTGGGATGCAATCTATATCAGCAACACGGTTTGTTTAGAGCAATTTGAATAATCTGCCTTGCCTGTACAAATGTCAGGCTGATATTTACTGGCAGTGCCAGGACCCAGGCACATCCCCTCAGAGACACGATAGAAGGTCAGCAAAGGTTGGAAGGACAAGCAGAGATTTCCCTCTCTTTTTGCCTCTACCGCCCTGCTTTCTATTGCCTGCCATGAAGTTTCCTTACGGAAGGACTGTGTGAACTGCTTGACTGTTTGAACTACATGGGTGATAGCAGGGGCAAGAAGCCATTTCAAAACATGAGCTAGATCCTGCTTGCAGTGAAACAAATCTCTGATTCGTTTTCCTCCTGTCAGTGTATGAAATTCCTTGCTTTTTGTTGCCACTAGGCTGTATCATACAGGGCAGGAAACGCCTGGATGCTGCTCCAGCCGTCCTCTCTTTGCTATATGTGTTAGTCATTTAGTCTTGCATTAGTCATGCTCATCTGTTGAGGTCACACATGCCATAAGGTCACTACGACTCTGCTGGCCTGAGCTGGATGGTGCCCCATAGGTCCCTGCATTTGATGCTGCAAAACCAACCTACATTGGACCTAAAAGGGAGCACCAGGATGGAGCTGCCTCTGCTCCGTGCAGTGTCTGGCAGTGCCCAGAGCCGCTATGAAACTGATAGTCGAAAGGGTATTGGACTTGTTTTAATTTCTGAACACACAGTTTAAATGTCCATACTTACATTCAGAACCAATAGACACACACGACAGCTTTCCAGACTTCACAACCATTGTCACTTACATAATAGTAAAGTGGTTACATTACATTTGAGATGCAGTTTGGTTTAGAATGTAAAAGTGTTAGGAATACAATGGGTCCTGTCAACACTTTTTTATAGTCTTGCTTTTATTCTTTTTCATTGTGTTTGAATGATTCCTGGATACTCTAAGTCTCTTACACGGGCTAATGAAAATAACACAATGTAAATGGATTACGCAGCACTGTAAAGCCATGGCTTATACATAATTCCAAGTTCAGTGCTGTGGCCTTTTCTTTTTCATTTTTATAAATCTTCCTCTTAAGATAAAGTGTTTTTCTTTTAAGAGATTCCCTTAAAGACTTTCAAAAATACTTTTTCAGCCAAATTTTCTGATCCATTTTCTGCTCTGAGCTGATCCTGGCAAGGCAGCCATAAGCTCAGCTTAACAAGGTAGTTAGTTAGAACAGGTTTAGTGGTTTTTTGCATCACTGGAGCACTACAAAGCAAGCAGTGCGTGCCAGTAAATCTGTTCTCTAGAGCATAGAAAGTGGTAACACCCTTCTGATGGCCTTAGCTAAAATGCCATAAGAACTTCACACAACCCAGTATAGCCTGTAACACTTTAAGTTGGGAAAGGGAGGGAAGAGAAGTCTATGTACATTTATTTTAGCTTGTGGTTCTCCAGATTTTAGCTTTGCTAAGATTTCATCTTTCCTTCAAGTTTCTAAAGTCTCCAGTTCTAAAAATACTTTGCATGTCCAAGCCATGCTCTTACACCTTACTAGTCTGCATGTGTCCATTGAATTCAATATTTCTCTGGGTTAGCATCGATTCTTGCAAGCGACTGCTGTTCTCTTGCCTGTGTTCAATGGGGTCACCATCCTCTATGCCATTGCCCTTCCGGAGGCAAAGGACTTTCTGAAAACTCTGCTTGAAGTTGTCAGAAAGAAATCCATAAAGAATGGGGTTGGCACAGCTGTTTGCATATGACAGGACCACCACAAAGAAGTACACCCCTACCAGCACAGGGTCTTCTGGCAGTATAAATATCAAATTGACAATGTTCATCATGTAAAACGGGAGCCAGCAAAGCACGAAGACGACTACAATGATCACCACCATCCTGGTCACCTTCCTCTCTGATCTCCTGCGTCTTGTAGACCCAACACGGATCCCTGAAGATTTGACTTTAATCACAATCAGCAAGTAGCAAAGGCAGATCACCAGCAAAGGGCCAAAAAAGCCCAAGACGGAGGTGTAAATGATGAACGCTGCTGACCAGATGTTGACGGGATCGGGCCAGTTCATGTTGCAGGTCTGCAAGACGTCCTGCACATCCGAAAAGATGATGACTGGAAGCACCACCAAGAAGGAGAAAGTCCAGACCGTTGTGCTGATTAGCTTGGCCACCCTGGGACGTCGCCACTTGGTTGATTTGATGGGGTGAACTACCGCCAGGTAGCGGTCCATGCTCATCACAGTCAAACAGAAAATGCTAGTGAATTGGTTAATGCCATCCACAGTCATAACCAGTCTACACAAAAAAGAGCCAAAAGGCCAGTAAGAGATGGCGTTCTGGGTAGCCAGGAACGGCAAGCCCAGCATGAAGAGTACGTCGGCAACGGCTAAGTTCAAGATGTAAATGTTGGTGACAGTTTTCATCTTGGCGTAGCGTAAAACCACGTAAATGACCAAGGTATTGCCACTGAGTCCAACTGCACATACAAGGAGGTAAAAAATGGGAATCAGGACTTTGTGGACATATTTGAAAGTGGGTAGCTCAGAGAACGTCCTGTTCTCTGTCATATTTGTCAGCAATGAATAATTTACATCACCGGAACTTGCTTCCACGCTAAATGTGCTGGAAAAATATAAAGGATCCATAGTTTTCAATCTCCAGTTTTTCCTTTAAGGTCAAGAGAGATTAAACTTCACGAGCATCTTGTTCCTAGAAAGAAGGGAAAAAAAGAAAAAAAAAAAGGAGGGAGAAAAAGAAAGTGAATTTGAAGTAGACTAAGATTTTCTGTCTATAGCCAGAATCTGTGTTTGAATTATGCTGTTAGTATAAGTGATAAGATTAAAGCCTTAGAAGAGGAATCTCTTGCTGATGGAGCCCAGTTGCCCACCTCAGGGTACAACACTTAGGGTTAATTTTAAGGAGCTCTGGGTGATGGGGTAGGAGGCTGGATGCAGCCATGGAGATGGGGCCTGCACAGTTGTCCAGAGCTCTTCAAAGCTGGTGAGAGGTAAAATGTTTGAAAGCCCTGGAATTTGGTCCTTCTGGATGCAAAGCTTGCTGGTAACAAGCCCGGTCCTTTCTGAGGAGAGTTGCTGAGGATAAATTAATTCCTGTATATATCCTGTGCTTTTTGGCAAGAAAACGTTTGACTGTCTATCATTCCTTAGCCTGTTTCATCAAACTTTTCCTCTCTCTTGAAATCAAAGAGCAGGGGCAATATTCAGCTTACGCAGAAAGCCAATTAAAAAACCCCAAATTAAAATCTAAAACAACTGAAAACTGAAAACAGGTTAGGGATCAATTCTGCTTACAAATAAGAAAGTGCAGCTTTGGGGTTAGTGCCAAGAGATTTAAACTTGTGCTTGGTACAAGTCTGAGTAGTTGGGACTGATTCAGCCACCTCGCTTGAGCCCTAGGTGCTTTTGTAATTCAAAGACAAATATAGTTCCTGCCTTTTCGCATCCGAAGCTCCACTGCAATGTTTCACGGGTCTCCTTGTTTACATAGAAACTGTCTGAGCTGATGCATTCAAATGCCACTTGCAGCCTGGCAGACCAATTGAAAACCCCCCGGAGAACATCGGCAGCTGTGTAGGTGGGGAAACAAAACCCTCCATAACAACCAACAAAACCCTAGGAAAAAATCAGTGAACTCCAAGGTGGAAATGACCAAGCCTGAGAACATTTCTCCGCTGCACCATCCTTGCACACGCAGGCACAGGACCTCTGCGGCAGAGAGGGACACACTGTTTCTTTTCCATCTCTCAAGATTGTCCTGACATTTCTGAATTCCTTTCCTCTCATCCCAAAGTGAGGTTTTTATCTAAGAAATACCTTTCTTCTGCCCTAAATCTCCAATGCAGCAGGCATCCTCCCTGGGCAAAGAGAACTGAACTGATTAACTCAAGGAATGGGTTTATTTGATAGCCTGAAAAGGGTTGCAGTTTCCAAAGCTTTGTCTCTGTGGCATATCTAATTCATGTGGGTACTTATTAATTTGTTCTTTCCCTGAACATGTTCTAAGGATATGTAAAGATTTATGATTTAGAGGAATAGAAACACAAAATTCCAGCCTGGCCCAAGATCTCTGTCAAATCTAGGCAGCTCTTCAGGTGAAGATGCCAAGGGCATGCGCGGTGACTCCTTCTCTCATAGCATGATGATTAGGTGTCCATTCCATGAATGTGAATATAACACCATGGCAAAAACAGCCAGACCACCTTGTATCCATGACTTCAGGCAAACCCAAAATACAGTATTATGCGAACATGCAAAAGTCTATTCGTCTCCAAGAGAGGTGAAAAAAATGCAGTGGGTGAGAGCAGAAACTCCCCCAGCTACCGGTAGTAATCAGAAATAAACTGTCCAGATTTGGAAATGTGCAGATGGGGAGTAGGTGTCTCACATGTAACTTCAGGCTGGGAAGAGATGTTCCAGAGAAGTCAGAAATCCAGGGTAGTGGGGATAGAAAAGCTGAGAAAGATGCTACAGCTCAAGCAAAAGCTTAAGATGGAGAGGAAAAACAGGGAGGGAGGACCTGCAGGTTGGGAATAAGCTATGCTGAGCTTTGAGTTTAGATGGGTTGTCATGGGTAGGTTGTAAAGACCACGGTGGGGACATTGCAGCCCCTAATATTGTCTTGCAGCGAGAGGCATCACCCAAGGGGATGGAAGAAACCTCTTTTCACCTAGAGCGGTCGAGACTGAGCCAAACAATGCCCCATCAGGGACAAAAAAAAAACAAAAGTTTTGTTCAGGATTGCAAAAATTGTGCCAGTGCTGTCAGTCAGCCAAGAGGAGGTCAGGAGCTGCAGTGGCTGCTGCTTTCATCCCGACACTTGAAAGGAATGAGGGTGTCTCTTCATCTTTTAATGTTAGCTCCTTTCTCCCCAAAGTACATGCATTACATGTTCTTGAAATGGTACTTGGAGCAATACTAGAATAAATTCTTCTAGCCTCTTCCTTCTTTCACATTTATAAAGGAGCCTTGGGAAGGGCAGTGAGGAAGAGGAGTCTCTCTGTGATGGCTGGATGCCCTCAAATCCCTTCTTGCCCTGAAGATCTCCTGCTGCATGAATCACCTGTTTGCAGGGGCCCCAGGGTCCTCTAACTGCCTGTTGCTGGTATCCCCACACCCTCCCAAGAGAGGGGAAGTTTTTTAATAACAATATCTTAATTATATTATCAGTATCGATATTATTAATAAGTTAATAATAAGGGGGGTTGATAGAACTCCCATGATCTGTTCCTCCTGCAGTGGTGTCTTCAGGGAGTGGAGGTAACGCAGCAACATGCTGGTCTGATTTTTTTTGCATTTTGGGGTTCTTTTCTTGATTTCCTGAGAGCGTTAGTCCTTGTTCTAGGTGATTTTTGTCCCATTTGATGATCTGTGCCTTTAGTTCCAGGAGAAGTCGGAAGGAAATGCATTGCTAAATCTGTCATGAGAAGCCCTTAATCTTTCCCATGGATGAGAGCTGATTGGTAGCATGGGCAAGGAGCTGCCACCACCTGAATGTCCCCTACACTGACTGGGGACATGATGAGCTCAGAGTCACCCTGCCCTGAAAACTGAGCCCAGGTCTCCAGAGTCCGAAATCAGCCTGATCCACTAAGGCTTTTAAACAACATTGCCTTTGCTTTGCAGCCACTAATATTCCAGTCTTCATCAGAGCACGGCAACAACAGAAACGAACAGCTGCAAAAAGCCTGTTTTGCTGGCAGCCCGTGGCTAGCAGAGATGATTTTCCTCTCTCTAGTTGATAACCTCACCCATCACTGGTACAATTTTGTCTGAATGCCTATTGCCACTCCAACAGTTAATGGCCATGAGCTTCAACAAGGGATAACTACATATAATTAAGACATGCTGAGTTATACGTTTTGGTACCTTTTGATACTTGCTTTGGTATCCCTAATTAATAGATTAATAAAACACCACCTTTAGGGGCCTTTCATTCTTCCAGATTTTGTTCTCTTTGGCTGTTTGGGCTTAGAGACATCACACTGAGATACTTCATACATTATGGGCTGCCTGCTTAAAATACACAAACCAAAAAGGAGGATGGAGCTAAGGACACGGATCCAAAGTAATCACTGGTATAACTTCAAGCTCTGCCTTTGCTGAGCATTGCCCTGGAAAAACAGGAATCCATTGCAGCTGAGCAAACTTGACTGCTCATGCCTGTGTCTAAGGAAATGGAGAGAAGAAAGGGCAGAGATATTATGATACAGACCATGCTGCTCAGAGCAAAGTGTTTAGACTTTAATGCCCTCAGCAAACATGATTTTGGTGGATGCAAAGCAGCCCCTTAGTGCAGAGCAATCACAAGGGAGAAGAAATCTTAAAACTTTCCAGGCAGATCAAGGCTGAAATTACTCGTGGTTGTAGTTACAACAGCAAAACAAAAATAGCTCTGTGAAGTGCAATGCACCAGGGTAACCGCTGGGCATAGCCGGGATCGAGAAGGAATTGCATAAAGGAACCTAATTTTTTGCACAGGGTATGATCTTGCTGCCTGGAGTCATAACTGTGCCTTATGCATCATCGAATGTAGCTGCTGCGAAGATGATTACAGTAACAGAAAGGTAGATTACTGCTTCCAGGTGCAGCCTAACTACCAGGAAGAGAGAAAATGCCAATCCACACAAATCCGCCTTTAAAACAGATGGTCTTAGGAGCGATGGGGAGAAAAACACCCAGGTTAATAGCCAAGAAATATTGAATGGCAGCAAAACTTCATGTCTTCTGCACTGTCCCGCGATGTTGTAGTGGCCTTTTTGCTGTTGTGAGGAGAAGAAAAACTCTGCTTGTTTCTTTACTAGTCTGCTCTTCTGGTGCTGAATGGTCATTGCCTGAGATGTAGCCCTTGTGGTCCTGGGGCTTTGCACTGCAGGGAATGGGCAGGCAGGGCTCAAACCCACTCCTTGCAGGGAAGCGGGTCCCTGTCTCAGGGGACAAGCTGGGAGATGCCAGGGAAGCTGCTGGGGCCTGGGCTAGCAGCAGGGCTGCAGCAGGGTCTGCCCGAGGGGAGCATCACACCAGCATCTCCAGCTTCTGTAGTGGTAACAGGGTTCTTGCACTAAATCAATATTTACACAGCAGCATAGCGGTCTCAGTATTTCATAGGCTAAATTGCCTAGGGAAATTTTTCTCTCCTCCCGCCCCATCCCACTGCCCGAGAAAAGAAAGCAAAAGGAATGAGAACTCCTTCCCTATTGCAATCTGTCATTTGATACTTTTCAAGGTGAGCTTTTTCACTGCAGAAGAACGGGGGTCATTGATTTTTCTCTCCAGAAGATATAACAGGAAAACTTTCCAACACAGATTGGTTCTGCTTCGTCTAGCTTTGTAGTACTAAACACTAATCAGCTGAGGTCAAAGCTGAGCCACTCTGAACACTATCAAAATCTCTAGGAATTGCATTTTCAAGCTGGCAACTCTCTCTTACCTGCCAGCTCTGGCCAGCCTAAGGTTTCCTAGAGCACCCTGCGGATATGTTACCTGATGACTTGGTCCTATTTTCAGTTTGCAAACAAACAGCCCATAACACACTCGTACTTTTGTCAAATATTTGCTATATACTACTTCCTCCAAACAAATTTCAGACCTTGTCCAGGTCAAAGATTACTCACTTTGGTCGAGCTGGTGTTGTTACACAGTCATACACGCCACATGCTCCTGGTTTTGCTCCCGAATCAGTTGATT